TTTTATGACAAATTAATGCAGAACACCATGAAATTCCAAAAGGTTCACATACTTTTTCTTGAAACTGTATCTTCCAAACTACAAATTGTTCTGTTTATAGAGGACTTGAGACAGCAAGTCACTGCTTGGAATGTTGCTTATTTTGCTGTAGAACTGTGTCTGATTGATTCCAGCGGTTTCAAAAGACTGGGGGTTCCCACGTACAGAGAGACATCCTCAGTTGTGAAGTACCATTTATTCTTATTCCTTACTGCAGGCTCCCAAGGTTGAGAGATCCATAATGGTGTAGTCTCCACCCACCTACCCTTAGTACTGAAATAATTTGAGATATATGTATGTATGTATTCTGACATACTTTCCTTGCTTAAGAAATACATCCAAACATTGCCCTTCTCAGTGTGGAAGAAAACCTAATTCTCTGGATAGAAGAATCTTTCTGTTCAGAGAGACATTCAGTACAGTTTGAAGATACATAAGAACTAGGGTTTAGCATGAATGGTTTCATATGATTCCCCTCCCCCACAAGGAGTTCAGATATATTTGATATAATGTCACTTAGTAACAAATAATAACTGAGTGAAAATCATCACCTTTCATAAGAATAGCTGTGGGTTACTCCACTCTTAGGGTCAAATTCATTGTAATTTTAAATATAATTTTGAATTGCATACTTGTAGCGGGCTCTTAAATCCTTTCTCCCCATATCGTCATACTAAAAAGGGATATTCTCTTCAAAACAACTATTTATTCCAATTTTCAGCAAGAAAATGAAACAACTCCCTTCCCCCCCAAAACCATGCAATCTAGAAGGCCTTTGATGTGCACCAAGGGAACTCCAGGCTGGTCACCTTTGGTTCACAGTGCTGTGCAGCTTAAGTCATCTTCAGGAGCAGACTAAGAGGGGGTTTAAAGCAGAGCGAGATGAAGTAGCATGGTCACTTTGATTCTCTTGTAGAATCAAGGGAATCATGTCATTCCACAAGGCAGTTCCCAGGGATGCCTCATTCAAATCTTCACCAAAGCAAAGCACTCCTTCATAGCCATCTGCTTCCATATTTGATTGTACTACATAACTGAACTGTGATAATTTTTTCTGTCTTCACACACGTTTAAACTAAAATAGGAACAACATTGGCAATAGTGGATATTGTATTGTATTAGTATTAGTATTAGTATTAATAAAAAGTTATATTAGAAAAGAGTTAAAGAGATTTTAGTTTCCACTTCAGAAATTTTAAGAAATTTTATATTTTATTTCTGTCAGTCAAATATACCAAAAGTGTATGATGAATGCTAGACTTCAATTTAACTCATTTATACAGCTACCCCTCATTTAGTGACTACCTCGGTTAGCGACCATTTGCAAATACAACAGTAATAAACAGTAATAAAAAAATTCATTTTCTCACCAACGCACACATTTACAACGAAAGCCTTCAATGTGAAACTAATTAAGGTCTGATCAGTTTCAGGCAGCAGCTGGAGCAGGCCAGTTCTAATCAACTAATTAAGGTCACAGAGCTGAGCTTGTTAACTTGTTGTTAACACTTTTAGGGATGAGCTTGTACTGTGGAGAAAAGCAGCTCAGGAAGAGATAGCTTGTTTAAGCAATCTCTCCACCCTGCAAGGGGGCAAAAGAAGGAAAAAACAGGTCAGACACAGGACACTGTAGGAGAGAACGTGATCTAAATGAGACAGCAGCAACCAGTGACCAGCATCCCCCCTTCTCAATCACATATTCACTTAACGACCATTTTGCTTAATGACAAGCCATTGGAACAGAACATAGTCGCTAAACAAGGAGAGGATGTACTCAAATCATGCTATATTTTCTTATAGAAATTTATCGAAGCTATTTGAATATAGAAATTTATATACAAATTAGAAATTTTTATAGAAATTTATCAAAGCTATTCTTATAGAAATTTATCATTAGCTATTTTTGCTTCATTTGCTTTTCCTTTTTTTCTGATTTCTGTTTCTTTTGTTGCTTAATTTATTCTTCTTTCCTGTTTTTTTTTATTTTACCTGTAACTTTGTGCATCTCTCTTTTTTAGTCGAAATTATCTAGATAAAAGAGAAGAGCTAAAACAAGCAAGAGAAGAGAGGTTTGTACTTAGCCCCTGCTTTTGGCTGCTTTGCATTTCTTAAATCCACTATTAAGAGGTGCATGATTCTGTAAACACACTTCTAACTAAACTTGCAAAAAAGGACATAATGCAGACATGCATACAAAGTCTTATATACAGAGAAGTCAAAAAAAGGAATAGGTAATTACTGAAAACTTGACAAAAATAATATTTGAACTAGTGGGGTCTTCAGTAACTGTTCACCCTCACTGCCATATTTTGTTATACAAGTTATGGATGCAGTGTTGCCTCCCAAAATGTCTATTCATTTGTCTTCTCAACCATGGGTACACAACTTCCATCAGCTCAAAGGCCATTGCACACTATGTTGAGGGCCATATTCCAGAAGTAACACAGCAACTTCCAAAGTGGATTTGATCACTTTTATTTTTTAAAATTCCATTATTATGGTTGGTTGCACAGTCAGCTGGATGTTTAGACTGCATTTGGCATTTTTATCCACCTATTGAGTCCTTCCCAAGGACCTGGGATAGGCAGATGTCGTTGTTTGATGGTGTTAAAAGTATAGTCACAGGATATAAGCTGTTCCAAGTAAATCTGCCTTTTGCAATTGGCTGATGGTGATTTTGTCAATGCTGATGGTGTTCAAGTGGTGCTCCAGATGTTTTGGGATTGCATCTAAGGCGCCTATATTATTATTTTCCTCATAAAACTGCATCTCTTCTCTCTCGATAGTTATGCTTTCTATTATTCTTTTTTTTTTTAAGAAAAAGAAAAAATAGCTGACCATCACTAGCTGGTTCACAGGTTCGCTGGACACAGTGCCAGGGGACATATTTTGTGCTCCTGTTTTAAGCAGAGAGTTGGCTTGAAGTCTGAAAGGAGTTAAGAGACACATTTCTAAGGGCAAACCAGATTCAAAATATTTAAGGAACATTTTCATGATAGAAAATAAAACCAATTTATATGCCGAAATATGCAATATAATGTCTTTAAGAATAATATAAATAAAGTTGTTCTAAGAATTAAAGAACAGTGTTCAATTTTGAAGATTAGCCATTCTGCCAATACTGTATATCTTTAAGGCTATTTTCAGTAGAAGTATAGATTTTGTTTACTTATAAAGAGAAGGTCCAGGACAAATAGTATATTCTGGAAGACCAGTAGACGTGCTTTTAAACCTCTGAAACATCACTATAAACTTTTGAAACTTCAGTGTTTCAAAAGACTGCTGACTTTTCTGTACAAAAAAAGGGACTGCTAGTTGATTTAAGCAGAAAGAGACAGATGAGTGTATTCCAAATGTTTTGCTGGTCCTGATGAGAATGGGTTTCACATGGCTTTATCATTTCTTGGTAGAGAGGGTGGCTAACAGTTAGTGTAGCACAGGAGGCAGGCAGGATGAAGTAGGAGAGGGTTCTGTTACTGTATCTCTGAGCCCCCTCCCACTCCACCCTGCATTCTCCTCTGCCCCATCAAGATGTCTGCTGTCTTGTTTGTTTTGACATGGAAATGCCTGTCTTCCAGAAAACTTCCAGAATACATAACCTGGCTGACAGGTCAGTGGGAGGGGCAGAAGATGATAAGGAAGCAACTCTTTCAATACACCTGCAAGCTTGTTCTTATTCCACTCATTCCCAGAAGAGTCAGAATATTTTTTTAATTGACAGCAGACAATTAACAGACAGGATTTTTTTTAATTGACAGCAGAATAGCACCCTTTCTGAAGATCAGTAGAACTGCATTTACTGAGGCAATTTACTCTACATGACTAAACACTCAGTTTCAAGCATAAATTCCCCCTGCCCCACATGTTATGTCCCCCATCCATGTTAAGTCCCCCACCATGCCACATGTTATGAAAAACAGTGGTAATGCTAGGTGGGAAGGAAAGGAAGCTGGGAAATCTATAAGGACAGGGCCATTTTAATCTTTGAGAACAACACCACATTGTTGCTGAGACACAGTAAAGTTCAGCAATAGGAACAGCACAAATTTATATCAACATCCTTTTCTGCTGACTCAGGGACAGGAGGAATGCACATTAACATGGCCATGAGGAAGAGACCTAAATAGAACTTTTTTTTTTTCTGGTAATTTGTCCTGTGTATAGAATCAGCTAATTTTCTATCTCTCTCTCACTGGCGAAGCAGGCTGTGAGGTCTCTGGAAAGGAAAATAATCACCCAGCTCCTCATTCCTCTTCCATGTAGAGAGAGCATTAGCTTACATAATTAGTCATGTAAAAATTGAAAGAGTAAATTCATATTCTAGTAATGACTTGCATTTTTGGCTGGTGTGGGTCTTCCGGGCTGTGTGGCCGTGTTCTGGAAGTTTTGTTTCCTA